GGACATAAATGACGATCAACATGTGGGCCAATCAAAATCCGTGATCACCGGAAATTCAAACTGTGCGTGAATTCATCAAAAATCAGCCGAAATCATCATTGAAATGCATGGAAATGGAATTGAACATCTCCAAAACATCGCTTTATCGCATTTTGATTAAACAATTGGGCTTACGAAAGGTTTTCCGCACAAATTTACTGACGATAAAAAATTGCTCCGAATCGAACATTTGAAAGACATCATTAAAGAGATAAAAAAAAAAAACAAAATCTTTCTTTACAATATTGTGACTGGTGATGAATCGTGGTGTCTTCAATTCACCGGACGAAACCCAAAAAATCGCGCATGGAGAAGTTAAAATTGAAGACAATTCTGATTTGTTTTTATGATTCCAAGGGTATTGTCTACAAAGAATTCGCTCCACCCGGCAAAAACGTTAAAACTTTATTCTACCTTAGAATTTTGAAGCGTTTGGTGCGCCGTGTTCGGCTCAAATATCGCGAAGATGAAAGTTAGCGTTTATTGCACAATTATGCGTCGGCTCATCGATAGACACTTGTGAACTATTATTTGACCAAAAATCACATTTTAACCATGAACCACTCCCCGTATTCACCTGATATGGCTGCTTCTTAGGGCTAAGCAGGCATACTGGCGGCCATACCGGCCAACGAGCTAAAACACTCGTTGGACATGCTTTTGGACCATGCAAAAAGCTGTATTGAAGCAGAAGGAGACTATTTTGAATTAATAAATTGATTTTGCCAAAAAAAAACATTTGTTTTGTCGTTGTGGTACTATTTTTGCAGTGCCTTCTTTTATCACATTTTATTGATACCGCTTAGGCTACAATGCAGGGTCAGGCTGTGTTTGTCTGTTAATTTCGATGCCCTAGAACGAAACAGGCAAAATCCCGTTGTGGCGAAAAAAAAATTCATTAGGCTTAGCTAGTAAAGGTAAACAAGTCGGTCATGATCTTTTCTTTGTCAATGTATAATATAGTACGAGGGCTGCTATATATATTTCTGGCCTAATAATGAAAACAGGAATATTTATCAACGAAAGAGGTTTTATTGTTTTTCAAAATATTCTCCATCATGATTTCTACACTTCTGCATGCGCTCAAACCAATTTTCGAACTTTTTCCACTCCGATTGAGACACCTCCAAAACAAATGCTTCAACAGCATCTTCTGGCGACGAAAATCGTTGACCACGTACTATCTTCTTGATGTATGGGAATAAAAAGAAGTCATTGCGAAGTGCTTCTTCCACGAACAACTTTCGTTGTGTTTGGCTCGTCTTGGAAGACCCACACGGTCGCTTGCTGTCTTTATTCGGGCTCATACGCATAGATCCATGATTCGTCACCTGTGACGATCTTATAAACGCCTTTTGAAGCACCGCGATCGTATTTTTTCAGCATTTCTTTACACCAATCCACACGAGCATTTTTTAAGCGATCGTCAAATTGTGCGGGATCCAACGAGAACAAACCTTTTTTACGGCCAGGTGTTCATGCAATATCGAATGTATGCTGGTGGGAGAAATGCATAACCATGCCTCTATCTGAAGGTATGTTATATGACGGTCTTGCATTATCGTCTTTGAGCGAGCGTCGGCCACGATTGAATTCGTTGTACCAGTTTTTCACAGTGCTATGGGAGCGTGCTTCATAGCCATACAAACATTTTGGTTTATCGATGCACTCTTGTCGTGATAATCCACGTCGAAAGTTGTGAAAAATGATCACACGAAAATGTTCACAAGTTAATTCCATTTTTTGGCCGAGAAGAATTTTTTAATTCCCTGTAAATAAAACAATTCACGATTAAATGACAAAACGTTCTGAGTGATGTTATGCTAAAAAATGTCAAACTTTCCAATCGAAATGTCAGATTGCACCTGGCAACACTTAGTGTTGCCTAGGCTAGAAATATATATGGCAGCCTCCGTATATACTAAATCGACGTACCACTGCGCAAGCCTAAAGGTATTGAAGGCCCATAATAACAATTATGCCCGATTCACTGTACAAAGCTTGTACAGGGCAGGCGTTATATACTATTTATGGTATCCAGAATTACTCCCAGATATTTGAGATAAGGGTTCGATTTTATGCTATGCAGGTCAATAAAAATCTCAATTGTTTCAACTCTCTTACGACCACATATTCATTAATACCACTTCCGTTTTGTGAGCAGCTAATTGTAAGCCAGCGGTCTCGAGCACTTGCCTTGTGAATGGTTTTCGCTACAACGACGACCGCAGTGTCGTAATATACTACTCTCTTTACCTCATCCGGCATCGCGACTCTCAGAATACAATTGTACATTTCGTTCCAGAATAAAGGGCCGAAAACTGGCCCTTGCGGAATACCGCCTGTACATTTCCGGTCCAAATTCTGTGTCGTATGCCAGTACTCTGTTTGCGAAATAGTTTGCCACAATTCGAATAAGATAGTCAGGAATCTTTAACTTTTTCAGAGTTCTGATAATTAGAGTCCAATTCGCTGAGTTGAATCCGTTTTTAGTGTTCAGGGTAATGAGTACGTAGTACACGCTACCTATTCCGTTCCAATGCTTTGGAATTTTCAAGCCACTTAAAAATAATTGTTTGAAATACTTTTCCAGCCGTATCAAGCACAAATAGAGGCCGATTAAGAACCCTCAATATATATACAATTATATAAGCTTAGTAACGAAATTGGCTCAATGTATTTGAAACATCGCACAGGTCTTGTAAGTTCCCAGATCCTACAATTAACCCATCCTCTTATTATCTTTTCTGCGCCGAGGAGTTTGGTTGAGATTGTTAAAAGGAAACTAATAAGGGAAATTTGTATTTCGTCATTCAATCGTCGCATGGAATTAATACCACTACGTTCTATAGTGTGGTAGTGCATACTTCTTCGACTGCCGTTTCCTGGCTAGGTCTCAATTCAAGCGTAATTGCTTGCAATAGGACTTTGAATTCTACCATATCTTTTCAGACCTTTATTGCGCGTTCTTTGGGTTTTAGCAGAAGTAATGATTTTATTTTCTTCAGTATATTTGTCGTAAGTATCAGGCGAAACAAACTATTTGTTTTGTTGACCCATCCTAATGTATATGATAAGAATTTCACTAACTTTCAAGTTAGATCAGAATGCATACAGTGTGCTAAATTTAACTGAAGTCGGTTGAATAATGTATGAGCTTACCTCTGACAAACACGTAATTTGTATATATCTATTTATATATTATATATAAGATGAATATTTAAATTGTTAGGTATTATTTGTATGTACATACCTTACGCTTATCTTTTTTACGATTTCATACATATTTTCAAGTGAAAAATTAAACAAAGAATTTATTCTTATTTAGCATGATAATTTACTTTGTATGGATTTTAAATAGCTATAACGGCAAAAATACATCTACATCAAAAAAGATTTTGTTATACCATATATGTAATGTTTGATTATAACAGTTATGCTTTATATATTTTGATATTTCTTCAGAAGCATTGCCCAAACATCTGGATATCTAGCTTGTAAAAAATTTGTTAATTTTTGAGCATTTTGAGCTTGTTGTGGCGAACAGTTACGACAGTTTCGTAAAATAACTTCCGGAAGAGCAGCTGAAACGAAAAAATGTTTTTATTTTATAGTACGAATAACTCCAAACGGTTTTATACTTTCGGTAAATTTAGAATGAGTATAACAGCTATAATTTATGTATATAAACTGGTCCATAATGACGCATGCAAATTTTCATTATTTATGCCCTTTCCCACAGCTCAAGTTTACTACCATATCAAAATCACTCTTACAAGGTGCGATCCAGAGTAAACAGAACGTTTTGAATCTAGTGCTTCCTAATGGCGCCATCTGAATGTCGACTGGTGCGTTAGAATCTGCTATCTTTATCGATTCTCGGTGAGAGTTTCATGACATTTGATCGATTGGAAGTGAAGTTATTGCGTTTTAAGTGTCAGTATGTTTKTGTTATCGGTGCGAAAATGAGCTTCGAACAAAGAGCCAACATTAAAATTTGTTTTAAAATTGGTAAAATTTTTACCACAATTTTTCAATTGATGAAACAAGTTTATGGCGAAAATTGCCTAACCCGTAGCAGAGTGCATGAGTGGTTTCAACGTTTTCAAAGTGCTCGTGGTACATAAATGACGATCAACATGTGGGCATTTTGATTGAACATTTGGGCTTACGAAAGGTGTGACTGACCACCAAAAATTGCCCAGAGTCCAACATTCGAACGACGATTATTTGACTAAAAACACATTTTAACCACTCCCTGATATGGCACCGTGCGACTCCCTCCTTTTCGGAAAACTGTCGTGCTTGGCGACTTTAACGCCAAATGGGTTGAGGATGATCGACTACTTTGGAAGGCACCATGTATAATATCGAAGTTGTTTAAGCCAAATAATAAAATCGACAACAACCCTGTATGCATTTGGTTTTGAATGTAGGAATTTATTATATATTTATTATTAAAATTAATTTATGTCGTTGATTTAAACATATCAGTCATAAAGAAAAATTCTGAAATAAATAATATCTAAACACAAAGACTCATTTAATGAATATTTTCGTTGATAAATATTACATGAAAAATACATTTTATTTTGAGATTGGCTACTACCTTATACTCATGTACATATATCTTTTCCAATCAGTCATAGTACAATTTTGATTTTTTTTGTCAAAGTTAAAACGCAAAACCTTATATTTGCTTTTACCCCTGTTTTCATTAATGTTTTGACGTATATTTAATACTTTGCCAATTGAAATTCATAAGTTTTGTGCAAATTTCCGATGAGGCATCTTAAGGCGCATAAAACGTTATGTTTCTTTAACAATAAATTTTGATGTACCCGACAATTATGACCAACCATTATTTACTCAATACAATACTCGAAATTAATTTCTGTGAGTAGCAAAAAGTGTCTACTAATTCATCAATTGAATGAAAGCGAGAGACGGAACAAAACTGAAGTGATAATAGTTGAAACGAGGAGATTTCAGTGTAATATCCATCGTTTACACTGAAATCTCCTTGCTTCAACTATTATCGCCTACGCAAAGTTCTCCATTTTGAAAGGTTTAACAGTTTTGTTAAAAAATGAATACATTCAATTAACCATCATAGGATATAATAAATGAATCCAACTCCTAAAACTGTAGCAATATCTATACATATGGGATAACTACACAAAAATGTTGATATTGACATTTGACCGTTCCTTAACAAAATTGAAACAGACCTTCACAGCAATTGCATGCGTAAAAGTTCACGCAAGTGAGGAAAGTCCTTTGATCGCCATTCACTTGAGAATGGTCAGAAACGATTCTTTTAGATATGGCTTCAGTAGCTCACGACTTCCTGCCTTTGCCCAAGTATCCTCTGAGTAGCCAATGAACTCGGTTTGAAGGCGAGCTAAAGTGGGAAGGCGAAACATCCCGTACGTAAGGTAGTGCGTGGGTTCGGGACACGCCACGTAAGAAACATTTCCATGAAAAATAAAACACCAATGCACCTGCAATGTCCTCTCCCTTAATTAGGAAGGTGCCGCTGCCCAGCTGGTTGATGTCCTCGCTAGAGTGAAGGCTGACATCACCGCCGTCCAAGAAATCCGATGGATGAAACAGGGACTGAGGCGAATAGGCATATTTAGTGTGGAATTATGGTGGAAGAGAGACTCCGTCGCCGATTAAATTTCATTCACCTCGGTAGATGAACTTCTATCCGCAATCTGTATCATAGTGAGGTTCTTTGACATATCGATGATTTGCCACGCCCCGATGGAAGAGAAGGACGATGGGACCCAAGATGCCTTCTAAGAGCGCTTAGATCGTGCTTGGCGACTTTAACGCCAAATGGGTTGAGGATGATCGACTTCGCCGGGGCCCGAAATATGGTCATCTGTGATACTAGATTCCAGCATATGAAAATTCAACAAGCTAGCCAAATCGAAAAACCACCAACCAGATCGATCATATTGTGATAGACGGAAGACACGTAGCTAGTGTTTTAAATGTGCGTGCGCTCACTATCTTGTCGCAACCAAGATTTGCACCCTCCTTGTGCATAAAAAGACGCACGCCAACAAACAAAAGGAAGATTCGACGTGGAGCAGCTGCAATCACAACAGACAGCCGAATGATTTTCAATTTGACTTGCACTCCCGCTCTCTGAGAGCACTCGTCAACAACGGGGCGGCATTTCAAGCTACTTATGTACAGCTGCAACCAAAACCATTGGTTTTCCGAAAACGCAAAAGAACAGCTGGTACGACGAGGAATGCCGTGTTTCAGATGAGAGAAAACAGACTGTCCACCTCGCAATGTTACGATCGACCACAACACGTGCGGGATGGAGTAGATGTAAAAAGTTGAAGAGGATAGCGAGACGCATTTGTAGACAAAAAAAAAAAGAGGAATACCGAAATGCGCGAGTATGAAGAGCTTGAAGCTGGCCCACAAGGGTAATGCTCGAAAATTTTACAAAAGGATGTGGCGACCAACAGCAATTTAATTGATAACCAATGCTTAGATCATACTAAAATTATGTAGGGAACACTTCTCCAGCCTGCTAAATGTTAGTGAAAGCATAACGCCAGTAAAAGGCGATCCCGATTCCTCAATCGATGAAGATGGAGCTGACATTTCATTGCTACACCATGAAAAAGTTCAAATAGCAATTATCTGTCTGAAGAAGAACAATGCAGTCCTATTAACATATAGGAAAGATGTTTCCGAACTGTTCGATACAAAACAAGGTGTATGCTATAAGCACGATGATGGTTAAAAATAATATTAGCATTGTAGAAATGCGTACAATTATATAATTTGTTGAACGCTCTTGAAATTTTGTTATTAGTCAACTTATTTTTTTCCTCTTCTCAAAGTTGACTCACTAATTTTATAATCCTGCACCCAGTTGCTACAGAGTATTATAATTTTGTTCACCTAACGGTTATACGTATCACCTTAAACTAATCGAGATAGATATAGGGTTATATTTATATAAATGATCAGGATGACGGGAAAAGCTGAAATCGACAGTGTGAAAACGGATGAAATCGGAGGATGACCCTCCTCACTCCCAATATAACGGTACTGTTAAAACCGCAAAAAGCTATTATTGCGCTAAACTAACTAAAATTGAAAAAATTTCCCCACCGAGATAAAAGTTTTACTGGAGCCTGTTTGAAAAATGGACGATGGGAATGGCACCGCCCATTTTTTGGTGAAATCCTATATATCGAGACCCGACCAACCATTGTGAAAACGGGGGAAATCGGACAAACACCACACCTACTTCCCATATAGCAGAATTTTAAATTCCACTTGATTTGTTTACTTTCCAGTACACAAATCACCTATGCACGGAATATGTGGACCCAACGCTTATAGACTTCTGATAAAAAGTATTGGTCAGTGTGTGATATATAAACTTATATGTAAATCTTCTTACAATGGCAATTCTGTATTTAGAAACGAGTTGAATCGGACCAATACTTCCCATAACCCTTATATACTTTATGTACAAATTTTCGAAGTTTGGGTTGACTTTATTCCGCATGTATCGGCCATAATGTGAGCTATCCCAAAGAAAATAAGAGAGCGTGTTATAATCGTAACAGTGTATCTCTGTGTCTAAAATAATAAATTTGAGCGAAAACTCCTTATATAACTAATATCAAAATTTTAGAACATTCGACTGAATTTACTCTATTTCATTGGTTTTATACCTTAACGTATTTCCCTGACTTTGATTATTGCGAGTTTATAGAGTATAAGTTTATATTGTACATGTGCTGCCATACTGTACAATACAATATCGTATGCTTTAACTCGCAAATACAAATATTACCACGAAAAAAAAACTTGTGCAGAGAGGTGTTTAGACATTTACAACTTTCCCTTAAGCTATTTCAGCTTTCAAGCTGTAACCAAGAGTAATAATATTGGAATCTTATATATTTTTTGTATTTCCATTAAATTTTGTTAACAAATAAATGTTGATGTTAACGATTGCAAAATAATAAAAATCTCGTTTATGATCAGCAAAAAAAACGTGAACACTTGCATTGGCAACACTTTAGATGTACCGCAGTTTTTTTCTGGTACGAGTATTAATTGTTTATGGTCATCTTTATATATAACAATTACGTGTCACGTTGTTTGTCTGCGGAGGACTCCTTAACTGGTGAACCAATTTTAGTAAATATAGGATGGCTTAAACAATTCATAAATAAAAAAATACAGTGAAAATGCAGAGTCTATTAATATGGACGCTCTATTAAGCGGACAACTCTATTAACTAGACAGAAATGCTGTCTAGATTGAGAAAGCAGCCTTAAATTCGTTATTTTTGCTAGTGAAATTTATTTGTATAAACACATTCAAAATTAAACAAATTTCTTCTGTGCAGTTGCCGTTTTTGAACAAAAATTTTGAATAAACTAACATTTCAAGATTTACAAGCTCTGGTAGTCAAATATTGGCAAGCGCGCACAGTACTTTCGAAATAGGATACATTAGCAAGAAAACACTTGGTACTATTCAGTACATTTTAACAAGCTATTTAACATATGATTCACTTCTAATTTAT